AGAACCTTCTGTGCCAGATAGGATCAATGGAACCAAAATCAAATTTCTAAAGCCAAAATATTAAGTCACTTCTATATCTTCTCTATGTGAAACTCTCTTTTTTTATGTTTTTATGTAGACCTTTGTTAATGAATATCAGTTTCCTAATCTGACCACTACTCTAACATGCAGTATCCAAAATCCCATTGCTGTGACAATCCCCCATGTTCCTGCACCTCTCCATTTTGATTTCTCATTCCTAGTAATCCTCAGACCACCTTTCACTCCCTTCCAGCAATCACTATTTGGGCAATCTATGCCTCACTCAGCCAGGGTCTCCTCGATGTTTCCAAGCATTCAACCCACATCCCTGTTTAAAGAGCACTGCTGATAACTTTGATGTCCTATTTCTGACCCTGTCAGAAGGAAGCAGGGACAATATTTATGAAGTCTACAGCAGTGTAGGCCTTCACAGTCACTCAGCTCTCATCACTGACCCATCAGACCAGCTTCTGGTTCTGGATCTCCATGGTGAGGGCCTATACAGGTATTCCATTTTTTTATCTTTTATACTATATTTTCACTATCTTTTCACTATCTTTTCAATCTTGATATGTGTAGATATACAAATATTACTTATCATTGTATTACAAGTGCCTACAGTATTCAGTACAGTAACATGGTGTACAGATGTGTAGCCTAGGAGTACTAGGCTATATACAACACAGCCTAGGTGTGTAGTAGGTTACAATAACTATGTTTATAAGTGTGTTCTGTGATGTTCACACAAGGACAGAATTGCCCAACTATGCATTTCTCAGAATGTATTCCCATAATTTAGTGATACATAACTGTAATGTCATATCACCTATATTTTCAACATCCTTTCCTTACAATTTTCCATGGTATCATTCATTCCAAAGGTCTATTTTATTGCTTTAAACAAATATAGAAAATACTTCAAATTTTGTTTGTTTAAGTGAATCTAGCAGGTTTTTACTTTTACTTATTGACACTGAGATAAAACTGATCAATTAAGACATTTAGAATCCAAGTCTTCCACAATATGGCTTAGCCTATGATCACAGTCTTGTTTCTCACCACATCCTCCGACTCCAGCCACACAAATGATTCTTAACATTCCTAAAACTTAATCTATACATGTAAAATGTATCTGTTTTTCCTCAAAGCATTCACTTTGCCACAAGGGTGATTTCTATCCTTTCTCCTAGCCCACATATGAATCTTTCTCAATTTATTAGAAAGAGCTGGTAAGTTACATCCTTACTACCAATTTTCCTGGGGCAGAATCAATCTCTCTCTCTCTCTTTATTATTTCACAAAACAGTATTCAAAGCTACCTGAAGACCCTTTTTTTAACTTATGATTGTGTAGAATTATCTCCTTACAAGACTCTTTTAGGATAGCAGAAAACTGTTTTAAAGCACTCTAAAAGTGTACTTGGCATGAAGAGCATAAAATAGACTTTTGTTAAACTGGATTATGTACTAATTAAAATAAAGTATATTTAAAAGTTGGCATAAATAAATTTTCAAGTAAGCATTTCAGAAAATAAATGTTTTCTTTTCCTGTTTGCAAGCCTAAAAAGTCATTTGCTCAAGAATTCTCAAATATTTCACTATTTCCTATATCCGCTAACCTCCTACTCAACTAACCATCAACAGTTTTGTTCACAGACACACAATAACTGCCTACTCCTACAACTATTATGGAATGGTGTTACTGGTAAAATGACTATTTTAAGAAAAAAGAGGAAAAAAAAACCTCAGGAAATTATTTACTAAATTACTTATATTTTATATACCACTTTATATAATTTCAAAAAAGTCTTAGTTCAATTCTTTATAAAAATAAAAAATATCAAAAAGTTCCTAGGAAATACTTTATTCAGAGAGAGACAAAAATAAACTTTATATCATGACATTGACAAAAATGTCATAAAGTTGTCTTTTCTGCCCATGACATTTTTTGTAAAACCAACTGGATTAGTGTCTCGGGAGGAAAAAAAAGCAACTTTAGTTAAAACTGCCATTCAAATTAATGGCTCAATCAATCCAAGTACCTGAAAAAATATACAATTTTAAAGAGATATAATTACAACTTTAATATACTGAAATAAATTGTGGTTTAAATGCTATAAACTGATTAACAATGTCCATGATTTTAAATATATTTAATTAGTATTGATGTCTAGATGATTCCCATTCTTGCAATATTTAGTAACCTTTTTTTTTCAATGTTCTTTATCCTACTGACTACTTCCATCCTTGTTTTAACTTATCAATAGCATTTAGTAAAACTCCATTACTGTCAGTACTCTATTTTCTTCATTAAAATAAAAATTAAGTTGTATATTTTTTTTTTAAAGTTAGTGATCTATTTTAAAATATGTTCATGTGATGTGTTTCCATTTTCAAATTTCCCTACAGTTGACACTTGCCATTTATGAATTATTATTTGGCAATTATCTAAAGTAATGCAGCCTCCTATTCTAAAGTAATTGAGTATTCAATTCACTTTTTAAGATATAAATCAATGTGTTGTTTTTCCCTCTGTAGTCTACAAAATGGCCATTGGCCTTTATCTTTATATTGGAAAATCATAGAAGAAATAAAAAGCATCTAGCTGTGAAATGACCAACAAGATTAGGATACCTACGGCTTTGAATTTTTGCTGTACTACTTCCTAGCACTGTAACCTTGTAAAAGTTATTTAAGGTATCTGAGTCTTAATTTCTTTCAATAGTGGAAAATTTGTACTTGATTTTTATGATTTATGTGATTGATGTAATGTGCTTTGAACAAAGCCTACCATATTATAAATGCTCAATAAATTTTAACCATATTTCCCTCCTTGTTCTATCATATTTCTTTTCTATTGTTTTCTCCTTCCCCTCTTCTTTCTTTCTTTCCTCTTATTGACTGACCCTTGGCTGGTGTTCAAAATGCACATCTCAAGCTAGCAGTTTATTTATCAAGGAGAGAAAGGAAATCTACATCAATTCCACAAATAAGTATTTGGCCTTTCATGAAGTTACCGATGTTCTTCTCTGTTAGCCGTACCAAGGTAAAGATACAGGCCTCAGGGTCAGAAATAGCTTATTTTTAGTTAAAGACCATCATTCACTATGGGGGCATTGTGAAAATAAAATGTAAATTTCTTAGTGCAGTATCAGGAAAACAGAAAACTATGGAGTAATAATATGATAAAATCATCACAAGACTGATATCAGTAAGTGTTCTTAAAACTCTAAGTCTTGTGTCCTAGTTATCAGTCAGCTCAGAAATGTGGCCCGACCAAGCCAAACACAAACACTACAGCAGGGGTATAACTCCTGATCTCCACATAATTCTTCAGCTATTACTATATGAGGACAGTACTAATAGGATCTCTAATGTTTTTTATATTTTTTTCCAAAAAAAATAAAAATTAGGGCTTCTACATTTATTACTAATAAGTTCTTATAAGTTATTCTGTATAAGAATTGATAAAGCAATATTATCTTAGGATGTTTCTAGGGGAAAAAAATGTATTTACTTCTTGAAAGTAACTGTGATAAATGTGATGTACTTGATACATGCAAGAAATACTGATGTTTATTCGTTTTAATGGAAAGAAGACAATGAAGTTCGTTGAAGAATAAGCTTAATTTAAAATTTTTTTAGTCATAAATTATTTGATAAAGAACTTGCAGAATAAAAATAAATTTTCGGAAATAAATAAAATCAGTCTATAAAACAAACAAACAAACAAACAAAAAACAGCCTGTTAATCAAAAACAGGAAGATTTAACTCTTCATATGAGTTTTTAGAAGAAAATATATGTTTAATAATTAACTGTTGATATAAAAAGTCAAATTCAAGCAGCAATATTTGAATGATTCTAAAGCAATAAAACCTGTTTGGGTCAACCTCACCTTTCAGATTTAAATTTGTAGATGTAATGGAAGAAGCCATGTAAAATTATCAAGAATGTGATGAATGAGAAAAAAAAATAAATTTTAAGAAAAGAAAGAAAAGCTAACCCAATTGTACCTAAAGACAATCGACCATCTCCATTATTAAAGTTGTTGTTTAAAGACAAAATTAACAATGCACAAAGCTTCACAAACCACCCTTTTATTTTAGCTTAAAATTAAAATGTAGGAACATATTGTAATGTGAAAATAATGCAAAATACATCAAAACATAAAAATCAAGTATAATAAACTTAACTAAAATAATGTTAATACCTGAAAAACTGTACTTCATAAATTATACATTCTAGTAAGTATTTCAAAAAGATATACTCCTAGATTAAAAACACAACACCTTATCATAATGTATCTTTTTGTCAACTTCAAAAAATACAGTAGACTCATAGCTTCTAATAAAAACCAATTTGTTAGTATCTGTGAAATCCATTTATATTATGGTAATCTAAAATTTGTTTATGCACAAATACTCATTGAGGTTACCAAACTTAGTAACATATATACAGAAAAATGTCTTAAATATACAAATAGAAATTTATTTCAAAAGAAAATATTTATGAAATATTCTAATATTATTCTGTATAAACACTATGTTAAAGAACAGTTACTTCGCTGAAGCCGGTTTGGCTCAGTGGTAGAGCGTCGGACTGAAAGGTCCCGGGTTCAATTCCAGTCAAGGGCATGTACATTGGTTGCGGGCACATCCCCGGTGGGGGATGTGCAGGAGGCAGCTGGTCGATGTTTCTCTCTCATTGACTTTTCTAGCTCTCTATCTCTATCCCTTTCTCTCTGTTAAAAATCAATAAAATATATTTTTTAAAAAAAAGAACAGTTACTAATTTAGAAGAAACAAATATGTCTTATATATTATTCCCATTTCTAATTGTAATTAATCTCATCTATGTGATTTAAGTTATATGCTAAAAGGTATACTACATAGAGTCCAAAAATCCACCATTCCTTGATATTACAACAAATCCTAAATTTCTAGCAAGGATGAAATGTTTAAAGGATATTCAAACTTACCCCATTTAATGGATATGTTTTCCATCCTAGCTCTCCCAGCACAGTTGTTGTATCAAGCAACACAACTGCAATTAAATAAAAAAAACTTGCATAAATATCTCAAATCTTACTATTATTCACTATATTAGCTTTAGTAAGTTGTATTATTTTAAGTTACACCTGATATATAAGTATTTATAAGTAATGATAAAATACATGAGGTGGTTATAAGTTAATTTTAAAATATGTGATTTGTGTATATCAATGCTAAATGAAACAATTTAATAACGAAGTCATTGTTAATAGCTGTCTTCTACATCTATACTAATAAAAGAGTAAGATGCAAATTGACCATACCTTTGCGATACCCACCAGACAGTCAGGAGTATGCAAATTAACCCAACAAAAATGGTAGGTTAATTTGCATAAGCAGGTGCCAAGCAGCCAGAGGCAAGGAGGGAAACTTGCATTGTTGCCATGGCAATGACACAGGTGTTCCACACCACCCCAGCTGCTCTGGGCAGGTAGGAAGGCAGAAAGGTGGCTCTGGGCCAGAGCAAAGGCAGTGCCGGCAGCCAGGGAAAGGAAGGCCCATTCTTGCACAAATCTTTGTGCATTGGGCCTCTAGTAGATGCACAGAACAGACTGTGGAATCTCAGAGGGAAGGCAGGGTAGGGTGGATGTGTGGGAAGAGATCAACCAAAGAACTTGTATGCATATATGCATAACCCATGAACAGAGACAATACTGTGGTGAAGGCCTGGGACAGGGGGTGGGGGAAGGCTAGAAGAGGTCAATGGGGAAAGGGGAGGACATATGTAATATTTTCAACAATAAGTTTTAATTTAAAAATTTTTTAAATAAAATAGTCATCTTCTAAAATTTATAAAATAACCACCTTTGCTTCTCTCTTCTTTCATATATGTCCTTCTACACCACATTAACAAAAGAAAGACTGTGTGAAAGCAGGCTTCTCTGTTTCCTTTCTTTGTTATTAAATGCCCTTACTAGTATATATTATTGGCAAAGTATGAAAACAATTCTTATGAATAAATCCGAGATCTTTAAAGCATAAATTACATTGTTACTATATTTTCCAGATAGTTTACTTCTACTGAGGGAGGCAAAAACAAAAATAAAAACCACACATCATTTTCCTAACCAAAAGTAATTTGTAATCTGATGGAAAAAGCAGATATGCAAACAAATAATTAAAATATATTCTGTTAAATTTGAAACTAAATAATGGACTATATAATAGCCTAGCAATTAAGTAGGCTAAAGCTGGCAGGGCAAAAATCTCAGAAGACTTAACAAAGGAGATGCTATCTGAGCTGGGCTATAATGAGGGGTCTTCATCAGATGTGACAAGCAACAAATATTTGTTTTTCTTCTATAAAATAGCTGAGCTATAACTTAGTTCTCAGTTGTTGATATGGGGACCAGGAGAGGGAATTATTTCCAGGGAAGAAGGAGGACAGAAACGAGGGATGAAAGCAACAGAGATTAACGGGGTAGGAATTTGCAGAGTTTACAGCAGGTAAATGCTTGGGGCCCATGATTCAGCAGCTGTTTATTTTTAACTACTTACTAGCTCCAATTCTGCCAGTAGGCCATGGGCCAGAGTTTGGGAAACAATGCTTTATCATCTCATTATGACTTTTAGTCTTCATCTAGTTAAGAAAGTAGAGTTTATTTGTTGCCTTTTTGTCATTTAAAAAAATATCATTAGGAGTACGTTATTTGGTATCCGCTGTTCAGTGTCTATTGTAAATATTGTCATTTTTATTTGAATCACTATGATACCTTGAATGATTTAAAATATGGAACCATGTTTTACATTTCTGGGATAAACTATTCATTGCAGAATATTCGTTCAGTACAATTAAAATCTATTTACTAAGCTTATATAAAACTGAGCTTTAATTTCTTAATTTATTTTTATTGTGGAAAATCTTAAACATATTTTAACACAAGAAGCTGGGTGCACAAATTCATGCACTGGGGGGTGGATTTCCATCAGCCCAGCCTGCACCCTTTCCAATCTGTGACCCCTCAGTGGATATCTTACTGCCAGTTGAAGCCTGATCCCTGTGGGACATCACTTTCACAATCTGTGACTGCTGGCTCTCCCAACTGCATGCCTGCCTGCCTAAGTGCCCCTAACCGCTTCTGGCTGACAGCCTGATCACCCCCTAACCACACCCCTGCCAGCCTGATCAATGCCTAACTGCTCCCCTGCTGGCCTGGTCACCACTAACTGCCCTCCTCTGCAGGCCTGGTCCCTCTCAACTGCCCTTCCCTGCTGGCCTGATTGCCCACAACTGCCCTGACCTATTGGCCATTTTGTGACCACATAGGGAAGGCCATCTTGTGTGAGGGGGTGTGGCCAATTTGCATATTACCGTTTTATTATATAAGATGTAGAGAAAACAGTACATTGGACCCACATGTAGTCATTGTTTGGCTTCAATAATTACCAGCATGGCCAATCTTATTTTATTTTTCCCTATTCTCCCACTCCAATATTTCTTTGAAGAAAATTCCAGTAATCATAATTTCATGTGTAAAAATTTCACTATTTATTTTATATTTAACTATAGTATCTTAATAAAGTACTATAAATAGTAATTCCTTAGTGTCATCAAGTAGTTAATGAGTGTCTCAACTTCTTTTAACAGAAAATCAATATTACCTGTAAATTACAGTGAATGGACATTCCTTTTAAAGTGTTTTTTTTTTTATCAATAGATTTTCCTATTATATTTTCAGATTTATTGAGGCATGATGTACTAATAAAGTTTACCCATTTTAAATGTACATTTCTATGAATTAAGACAAACCCCTATATCTATATAAACCAACTCTATAATCAAACTATAGAATACTCTCACGACCACCAAAATTTCCTTAGTGGTCCTTTATAGTGAGTCTTCCCCATCAAGCCCCTGGCAACCACTCATCTGATTTCTGTCCCAATGGTTCTGTCTTTCCCAAAACGTCAAATGAATGAAATCATATAGCAGATAGTCTTTGCGTGTTGTTTTTTTTTAATGTTAGCACAGTGTATTTGAGATTCATCTATGTTGCTGTATTAATAATTAAGTTCCTTTTTATTATTGAAAAGTATCCTACTGCATGGCATTTCCTAGTTGACAGACTGTGAGCTATTTGCAGTTAGAGAATTATAAGTAAAGACACTGTAACATATCATTTACAGATTCTTATAGAAACTTATGCTTGCTTTCTTCTATGGTACATAGAAATTAATGGATTTTGTAAGGAATACTTTTTCTTAAGTGTCATATTCTAAAATGGCTATAAAGTTTTGCATTCCCGTTAGGGGAATATGTTCTTTGCCTATTGCTCCACATCCTTGGTATTATCAAGTTTTTGAGACATGGTAACATGTGTGCAACAGGATCTCATTGCTTTAATGTTTCTCTAAAGACTAAACAGTTTATCTTTTTCACGACTTGAAATCAAATTTACTAAATAAAACAAGGTTGTTGTCACACTTTCTGGATTTTCCTAATCATAAGATATCATTAAAGGTGTTTCTCCATTTCCCATATTTTGTTTAAATTAAAGATCTATTTAAAGGCTTGATCTGATTCAGGTTCTATTTATTTTTATATTTCATAAGATTGCTTTATTAGTGGTGTTTCATAGTCTTTATACCATAAAACAGGGACAATGTTAATTTCCATTAGGGTCATTGAGAAAGAACTCTAGAACCATCTTGCATAAGCTTCAACTGGACAAAAATAATTTGATCATAAACAAGGTTAATGACTAGGATTAAAATATTTCAAATATGCTTAAATCCATGCATTTGGAAGGGATTTTAGAGATAGGGCAGTGAGTCTTAGGGAATAAAAAGGTTCCATGGGCAATGAATGCATATGTGAAGGGCAGAAATAGCTCCAAGTCTCCAAAATGCTTATCTTACTTGTTCAGAGGATAAAGAAATGCCACAGGACAATGGGGGAAGGGAAGGAAGACATTCATTCACAGAGGATAAAGAAAGGTCACAAGGTACCAGGAAACATATTTTCACAGAGGATAGAGAAATGTAGCAAGGTAAGGGGGAGAGAAAGGAGGAGGTACCAGCTGGGGTTTGAACTTTGAAACTGATATCTTGCAAAAGAGGGACCAATTAAGAAAGCACAGGGTCCTCAAAGGGGGAAAGGGTGCAATTAGAAGGAAACATAGATAGACAAAGAACTACAGTCTTTTAAAACCTGGAGACAAAGAGACTCAGACAAATTTTGCATTTTTATTTTTTCCATTAGAGAGATAGGGAGCAGATTTTTTTCTGCATTTGGGGGTCCCTCCCTAAGGGGTCCCATTTGGAGACCCCTTACATGGGAAAGTTTGTATATGTTTTTAATAAACTTCCACATTTTTATTAAAGAAGCCTTTAGTTCATGAGTTTATTCTTCAAACTTTGTAAGGCAAGGACCCATGGAAGAATCTGCACCCTGAACCCCACATTTCACATTCATAATGACAAAATATGCCATTAATAAATTTTGCAGCATACTAGGAAGCCATTATTTATATAACTGGTAAGTAATCTGAAAATAATAAAATACTTATTTTGCTTTTTCTATATGAGCTACTTCTGAATAAGGAAATAAAGGAACATTTTTGTCATTGAAGTGTTTCATTTAATAAATGAAGAAGTAATGACCAAATTATAGCATTTTCTACTTTTAATAAATAAATATATTTAGCTATGGTTTCCAATGACTGCTGACCTCCATCACAAAAGATAATAGGAGACACAAGAGGCTAGAGCTTTATAAAAGGCATTCGTCTACTTCATATTAATAATAATTCTAACCAGCCTAGAAGTATAACAGACAGAAAGTACACAAAGGATGATATATAAGTATATATCATATGTATACACACACAAATATACAAAGATACAAAAAGTGATATCTGATGACATCTGGGATCATCCACAGTAATAAAAACAATCTGCAAAATTTGAGAAAATATCTAAAGATACTATAATAAATATTCAAAACTATAAACTTACCTCATTATTAAATAAAAGTTATTTTTATTTTTGGTA